TAGGCAACTCTTGGAGGTTTACAACATTAAACATGATTATACTTCTAATAAACACAATTAGATTTTCCCATACAAAGTCACTGCTAACTGCATAAATAATTCTCTCTGAAAGCCTCTTTAGAAAGAATAGTATTCCCTGAGGTGTATTTTATTCATGTATGGGATAAATGTTGTGGATTGTAATCAAGGATTAAAATATATGTTTGTACATTTTACACCAAAGTAAGGCTTTTGGTGACCGTGGATCAACCACCCTCCTGTAGGATGATCAACTTTTATAGCGCTACTCAACAGTACTAAATGTCATAAACAGGCTTCATATATTAAGGACAAATGCACAATAGACTTTATCAAGGAAAAAAGGAAAATGTGGGTGAACAGTTGATTTTAGACGCATCAACAATCTAAATAACAGAAATCATGGGCATTCATTACAAGCCAGTATAATACTTCATGGACCATGATAAATGACATGAGTATGTAGTATGCAAATTGCTTTATTAGTATCATTTTCATGATCCCAATCCCATTGTGTACAGACATACTACAAAGATAGTAAATGTTATAGTACTAAAGAGAAATACAAGAAGAGGTTCAACCTCCCTTCATATCTATCACCTTCATGAGTGGGCATTATGAAGCACTGAATGATAAATATGTAGGTAGTTGGAATAAATTGACATTAAAAAAATATAGATGAAATTCACCATGAAGGAATAGACAGAACCAAGGGGCCACTTTTTAAAATTTTTATTTATTTATTTTTTATTTATTTGATTTGTCAATCGCTTACAAAATAATAGGTATAAGTATAAACATGAGTAAGAATACAGAAAATAGGTACAATTAAATAGGGACAATAGGATAGGGACGGGAGGCATGATGGTGCACTTATGCACGCCCCTTACAGACCTCTTAGGAATGGGGTGAGGTCAATGGAAATGCTCCCTAATTCACAATGTAACCATGGTTTTTCTTTTTTCTTCTATTTTATTCCAAATGGTACTGGACTGAGAATGTCAACCAGGGTTTTCATATGTTCAAAATGTGTCAGTAAAATATAGTATTTATTGGTATAATTGGAAAATATGAAGTGGGCTGCATATTTTGGAAGGAAAATATAAGTAGTCATGCAATGTGGTTGTGTACTAGAAACCATGCAACCCCAAAAACATGCCCTGGATCTGAACCTAATTCCAACATTTTGCTTGCTATCTTTATATCTGCTGTAACAAATTATTGCTGCGAGTTTGCTTCATGGTTATCTTTACATTAACTGAGTTTTCTATAATGCGTACAACTGTAATCTTCCTGATATTGGCATCAAGACATTATTACTATTGTTTTTATTTCACATGTTGAAATGCTCAACTAGACATAGTTTCAGAGAGTTTTATCACATCAGTATAAGAGAAGGACAATCCAGTCAAAATCTAACTACCCTCTTGGGGTATGTCTTTGCCTTAATCTTGGTTATTAATCATGATTTCTGAGTTAAATTAATCTTCTTTAAAAATACATGTTTTACTTTTTTAAACTAAGGCATTTGTTTTGCTTCTTTTTCCTAATTTTTGAGTGTCTTTTATTTTCAGCTCTTCCATTTTAGCACACCAGTCTTTGCAACTGTTGCAAGTTAAAGGGAAAATAGTAAAAATATTTGTGTTGACTTCAGAATGCTGCAGATTAAAAGCAGATGCATTCTCTAAGCATGTGTTTTAACTTTCATTGATGTGCTCTGCAGAACAGTCTCTAGGCCAGGAAGAAATTGTGTTTGCTAATTGTGGGCAGTTGGACAGATGGGGAGCTAAAAATAATATTTTTATGTTTTATTACTATAAATTATTTTATTTCTTCTCTCAAACAGGTCTGGTGAATTTCACGTACTGGTTTTATGCACACGCTTTCCAACAAAGTTGTCATCAAGAGTGGAGTTCCTAATTGAATTTAACTAATTGATAGTATCTATTTTCATAGTGCTTTTTTAAAATGGTAACTGAAAGAAAATGATTGTAAAAATAGCACTGAATTATGTATTTATCATTCTTAATCAAGTTCATGGGAGTAGATGCATTCATAATTTCACCATGGTTTCACAATCTTGTTTTACTTAATTATATTATAATTCATAAATTTACCTGCTTCTGTCCTCAGGAAGGTATCTGTGCAAATTAGACCTTAAAAGTGAATATAACCGCTTGCCCCTTACTCAAGTTTTAGTTAACTCATCCAGTGGTGGAAATGTCTTTAGACATCAACCTTATGCATGTGCTTCCAAACTGATAAAAGGCGAATAAATTGAAAAAGCTGTATTTATTACAGTTAAAAAGCTGTATTTATTACTAGGATGCGTGCATAAGCACACCAATGTGCCTACCGTCCCTGTCCTATTGTTTCTTTCTTCTTCTTCTTATATGTATCCATGTATTTATAACTATGTTTTTACTTATACCTATTATCTTGTAAGCAATTGACAAAAAATGAATAAATAAAATAAATAAATAAATATTAAACTTAAACTGAATATAACATCTAAGCGAGTGACATGGGTATTTTCAGGATTTTTTTTCCATTTCCATTTTTATTATGATTTTGAAATTAAATACAAATAATCACACAGGAAAAAAAAGGAAAAGTGGCTATTGATATACAAAAGAATAAATAAATAAATACACTACAATATTAGAAAACAACTTGATTATAAATAACAGGTAGTCCTCGCTTATCAGCTGCTTCATTTAGCAACTGTTTGAAGTTATTATGGTGCTGAAAAAGTATGTTTATAAGTAGTCCTTGAATCTGTGTCCATTGCAGCATTCCTTGGTTATGTGGTTGTGATTTAGGTGCTTCACAGATGGAACTCATTTACAACAGTCACTGTGTCCCACAATCCCATGATCACTGCTTGCAACTTTCAGAGCCTGTTTCCCGCAAGCAGTCAATGGTGAAGCCAGAGGAAGTTGCAAGTTGCAGTCATTTGCATCTCACTTAATGACTCATATTGATTCACTTAATGACCACAGCAGCAGTCCAGTGAAGTCATGAAACATTTCACTTTACATCCAGTAGTCCCAATAAGTCAATAAGTGAGGACTACCTATATACTATTCTCTCCTTTTGTACCCTCAACTGATCATTCAAATATTTCTGATTTGTTTCTGATTTCTACTTGAATCCTTTCATCTAGTTTGTGTTTCTCCCTTTAGAAACCATACTCTAAATATCTGAGTTGAGGTGTTCACAGGATTGGAGGTTTTCATTGAAACAGTGGAAGGACCTTTATGCTGCCTTGATACAAGTCAGCCCATCTGTACATGCTTGCAATGCCACAACACACAAGCATAGCAATGCCACAACACACAAGCTCAGGCATGGCCTTTAATAATTCACAAATCCATCTGCAAAATAGGAGGATTTTGCAAATGGAGTAAAATTTGAAAGGAGGCCAAAGTTAGCCTCAAATTAAGTCAATGTTTACATTAATCCTTGTGATGTAGATTTTCTACCCTGTGTGTTTATCAATAAAATATAGTATTAAATCTACGGTGACCAAAGTTTCTAGGGAAAAATAAAGAACAACTTGAAAAAGGGACAAATCTGGAAGAGATTCATCAGGATAAAAAAATTAACTGTTTAACTTTGCTTTACAATGGAAATTTTAAGAGGAAAACTAAGAAAAGCTTTCCAAAAATGCATATTCTAATAAAAATATCTAAAATAGTATTTTTGTGTAATTAAAAAAAAGTCAATTACCATATTTTTAATATGAATGTGAAAAACTATGCATTAAGTACCAAATTAAAAGACAAAAGTAAAACTTTCAAAAATAAATCTAAAGGACAGCTCTCTATAATAAAAGATGTATTTTCACTGTAATTATATCTGAATTCTAGTTATAAGATCTTGGCAATATGGAATACATTAGCTACATTTGATGTCGTACATTAGATAAAAATCCAACAAACCATGATAGTTCATAGAATCATGTAAACCAAACTACTTTAGAATAACATAGTTTGTGGTTATAATTAGTCACCTTCCAAGGGCTTTGTCTACAAATGCAAATCTTTAAATATTTGAAATAAATACAGTAAAACTCAGGCCGTGTAAACATTTTAAGAGCTCCAGGTTTCTAACACTCTTTCCATGGAAATATTCCAGGTAGATTTTTTTTCCTCCTACGTTTTAATGGAAATGAAACCAAACAATAATCTATCCTTCACCAACTCCTCCTGGTTTTAAATATAAAGTGTGACATTATTTTAGCTTTTCTGTAATGTGGAACATTTATTTCAAGATTTATGCTTCAATATTTTCCAATAGGCTAATCTTTTAATTCTTTTGAAATGCATTTTCCACATTCTTAATTGTGTGCTAAACATAATATTTAAAATCAAGCCATCACTGAACTCTCCCCCTCGATCCTCCACAAATGGGCTCAGGAGTGGTGGTGGGGAAACACTGGCAGAAATCCACCATTCACCAAGCCTGTAAACAGCTTTTGCTCAAGCTGGCAACAGGGTCGTGGTTTTCATTGTGGGTTTTCCCCTCAGCATCCCTCTCCCACTGAAACTAACCCTTGTGCCAACCGCCATATTTTTATTTTTCTTCTTTTTTTTCCTTAAAAAAAAAAGTTAAATGCATTGGCACGCAGCAACTACAGTGCCACCGTTGATATTTATTTAAAAAAAAAAAAACCCGTCTCTGAGCCACGGAAATAAGAGGAGGAGGAAGAGGAGGCTCTCCCGTTGGCTTTTTTTTTTTTTGCCGCCCGGTGAGTAGCGTGAAATAAAACTCAAGGCGCGTTTAATTAAGCGGAGAGTTCTCTTTGAGAGGCCGCCGCTGCTCTTCCAGATAGAGAAGCGCGTCCCGGCTGGTCCAGCAGGGGGCGCGGGTGGGTCGATCAGGGCGGACTGGCCGGCCCCCTTCCAGGCGGCGGGGCTGCCTTGGCTCGGGATGGGGCGGTCTGGAGCGGAGCTTCGACAAAGTGACAAGCCAGGAGCGAGGGAGGCCAGCGAAGGCAGCCTACCGCCTGCCCGGAGGCCAGTTTCACAGCCCGGCGAGGAGAAGGAGGGGAGAAAGAGGACGGGCGAACGAAAGCCCGTTTCAGCCACCGGGCTCGGGATTCCTGGATGTTGGAGTAAGCGAGGAGGACGAGGAGCCGGCTCAGGAATGTTGCGGCGACTCCATCCGGGCAGCTGGAAAAGGAGCCCTTTCCTGCTCCAACTGCTTCTGTGGCTGCACACCCGGAGCCTGGCCGAACCCGCCGCTCCAGGTAAGCCAAACCAAGCCCAGCCCAGCCCGCCCAGCGGTTGAAGATGCCCCGGCGGAGAAGGCTCCGCTTCTGCTGGACTGAGAGCGGCCCGAGCTTCCCTGCCCTTCTTTCCCGATCGGAGTTCGGGCGCCTCGTCCGAGGATGCAACAGACGGGATTCGTTTCTTGGTGGGGTGGGGGTTAAAAAGGAGACTTTTCTGGGTGGGGTGGGGTGTGTGTGTGTGTGTGTGTGTGGCACTCGATGGGCATTGCCCCTTCGGCCTTGGAGCGACTGAACGCCAGATAACCGTGTTGCACGCAGAGGTGTGTGTGTGTGTGTGTGAGCGTTTGAGTTGCGTGTCTACTAAGACTGTCCGGTTCTGGAGCTCAAGCCTAGTTGGAGACTGGATTCAGTCTTCCCTGGGATGCTAAGAGGGGTCGAGAGTGTCAAGCGCACGTGAGAAAAGGTAGAACATCTCTGAACACATGCAGGGTTTATTTATTTATTTATTTATTTAGCAGCCGGAGGAGGTTTGCAAACGACGAGTTCCACACAAGGGATTAACTGGCATAGCATTTAGGGCCTGCATTTGATCGTGGTTTGTGCCTTCCTCCCTTCTTCGTAACGAAGGCTACCAACTTCGCATGAATAACCCCTCGGGATGTCGCATAAGGCTCCAATCAGTTCCAGTCCCCTGATTTTCTCCCCTCCGGTACTTGTTGGCCGAACGCGGCAGCCGTGGCCCGATGCTGGGCTTGCAACGAGCGAGGTTTCCATATCCCCAAACCGCCCTGCCCTCCGCGCCTTTTTTTTTTGGCCTTGAAAGCCTCCTTTCCCCAGCCCTCGAGCCGCCTAGAGTCAAACGTGCTCCGCTGTAAGGCGAAAATACTCTGCACGTGCCCAGAGCAAGCCTGCCCGGCAGCGACGTTGCAGCCCCTCGGGTGATAGCTGAACACTTATTTAATTTAATTTAATTTAATTATTTGTCAAAAACTTACAATACAATAGAAATGAGAATAAACATAAGTTTAAATATAAGAAATAGGAATTAATAATTGGGGACAGTAGGACAGGGACGGTAGGCACGATTGTGCGCTTATGCACGCCCCTTACAGCTTACTTAGCTAAGCGCCGGCGGGAAAATTCAAGGATTGGGAAGGGCGTCGGGAGTTGGGTCTATTTTGCCCCCTCGGCTCCTCTTTAGGATCCCCTCAGCTTTTCCCTGCCTTTTTTATGCTGCAGGAGTCCTCAGTTCCTCTTCATCCTCGTCCTTTTTTACCGAGGTCTTGCACTGAACCAAATTGGAAGTGGAAGCTTCAATCGGAGCAAACCAAGATTTCAAACTTGTTTTCTTGCTAGCTGTCCTCCCAAAGTGCCAGAGAGTTTGCAAAGATCTTGGGTGGGGGTGGGGAGCTTTTAGGGTAATTCTGGGTACCCAGAGGTGGGGGTTGTGGATTCCTAAATATCACCTGGATTTACGCCTTTAAAAATCAAAACGACACCTGGCAACGTTCCGCTAATTAGTCTAGTCTAGTCCTTGTTACTTATCCCTGGGAGACTCCGTCTTTTTGCTGTTTTTCCCCTTCAGCTTGGGCTGAAGCAGAATGAAAAAGGCAGATGAGATGGCCTGTTGGATTCAGTTCAATTAAAGGGGTGGGAAAACTTGGTTAGAAGGGATGGAGTTGGGGAAATGTTCTGAAGTTTGACAAAGTTAGAGGAAACTTAAACTGGTTCCCCTGGTAGATTGTGGCGGAGTAAATTGCTTTTGGGTGGTGCAGGTCTTGAGAGGTGACACAAAGAAACCTGGAAGCACAAGTGTGTTGGCACCACAATAAAGGAAAGGGAAAGTGTATACTTCAGAATGATACTAGACAGGAATTTTTGACATCAGATTTTGTTGGAGATTACTGTACACGGAAGAGCCAAAATCAGACTCATTACATTCAGAAAGATTTACTGCCAGAAAATGTTCACAGGACTGCGTAGAGGCCTATGCCTCAATTCAAGGTAACCTAAGAATAACATTGCATGGGGCTGAACTGTATTGGGTCTGGGTGAGAGGTTATTTGGAGCTACACGTAAACTGCTCCCGCTCCACTTCGTAAATTGGAAAAAAAAAACAACCCAAAAGTTTACACATTTGTATTAGTGAAAAACAACTTGGATCCAAAAAGAACTGAAGGTGTTTCTTTTTGCTTAGTTCATGCCCAACAGAGAATGGGCCTTACTTTTTGTTTTTATAAAAATGTAAAAGTTTCGGACTGACTTACATGGGGGAACTGTTTGGATCTTAAATCATTTGGGGTTTAGAAGATAAGCTTTAAAAATTGTTATCAGTGAATAAGCAGCAGTGCAAGAAGCAGCAGATTTTAAAATAATCTACGCTGCTTAATATTCTGGAAATCGTATCTTAGAGGTAGTTGAGGCTTCCAAGTTGTTTTAAAAAGAAAACCCACACATAGAGTTTAAGATTAAAAACAGAAGAAATAAAACCAACACCTAAAAAAGGAAAACACTGATTCCAAATATTAAAATGAATGCAAACATGACATACTGAAATACTAGGAGACGGGTAACCCCCCCCCCCAAAAAAAACCTTCTAAATATACAGTACTTATTTCTTCAATGGATATGCAAAATTTAAAAGATGAGGACTCTCTTATTTGTTTCCCTCATAGTTTAGTTCATTTTCTGAGATTGTAAGTGTTGGCAAGTTGCTTTGGGTGAAGGTTTTTCAAGTAACCGTTGTCACCCCAATTAAAATGGGGAAGATAATTTGAACTGTGGACTCTAGAAGTCACAAGCTGAAGCTTGGAATTCTCTTCAAAGACATCCATCCTGTTGAGCACCTTATAGTAGACAATCTTAGATATCAGTTCCACGTAAATAACAAGCAGTTTGGTGTCTAATAATGAAGCTGGATTAACAAGCATCTTTATACTTACTGCATGCTTGCTTTTTGAGTGAGAAAGGGAGTTAAATCACATCCTAAATTAAAACTGAGTCTTCATGTATTTGGTCAAGTTTAACTTTGTCTTGCCTACAGCAGACCATGTTCATGATGTCGTAGCTTAAATATTAATATTGTTAATATACTTCAACCATTCTGCTTCAGCTACAATTACTGGTGCAACTTTGTGTCTTGGAGAGTATCTGGCCAATGTGTACATACATTGCTAGATTAATACATACTTACTCTTTGGCTGAAGTGTGTGAGTTGATTTAAATCTAAGGTAGTTAATGTGTTAATACTCTGCTGTTTACAGATACAAAATATTCATTGGGTAAAGTGATGCTAGGGAACTAGCATCTATAATTATAAAGTATTAGATTAGGGCTGGATTTTATTCTGGGATAAATTTCATCAAATCAGAGTATCAGTTGTTAATCCAGAGGATTGCTATAAGGGAGATAAAGCAAATATGATAAATATGTTGCACCTGAAAATCATTCTCTTTTATATTCTGTAAAACAGTGTGAAGTAGGTAAGGTTGAAAAAGGTACATTGTTCAAGGTTACATAGCTGTATTAATGTAAAATAAAATTCAAGGCCATCCCTGTTGTAATAGTGCCAGTTATTTGTAAAGTGGATATATTCAAGAGAAAGACTTGGACAGTTTGCCCTCAAGATTCTGTCTGAGTGTAAATATGATTTGGGTTTCCTGTACTGTACAGAAATCATATATTTTCATTGTTCAGCAATACTGAATAAAACCTATATCCTTGGGAAAAGATATATCTATTATGGAGGAGCTATTGTAAAAAGGACTTTAATATGATTATCATGTTATGATTTCTGATGTGAAAGAATGGTAGAATATAATAGAATTCTTTATTGGCCAAGTGTGATTGGACACACAAGGAATTTGTCTTGGTGCATATGCTTTCAGTGTACATAAAAGAAATAAAAATCATAAGGATACAAGCAACAAAGTTACAGTCATACAGTCTTCAACAAAGCAACAAAGTTACAGTCATAAGTGGGAGGAAATAGGTGAAAAGAAGTATGGGAAGATTAATAGTAATTGTAATACAGACTTAATAAATAGTTTGACAGTGCTGATGGAAAATATTACTTTAGTGTGACACAATCTGTGGTGCAGCAAAAAATAAATGCTAAAATGGCTTTAACTTTCTTCGGTGAAACCTTTAACGTATAATTTTATAGGTTGGTGGTTTAAACATTTAATATTTAAATAATGTCCTGCTGAATTTTTGCAGTTCAGATCATTGCTTTTTTGCAAAGTGCTGTAAGTGGCTGTCTGATAAAAGAAATGTGAGAAAATTGTCCAGTGTTTCTAAATATTTCTGCATATTTTTTTTAGTATTTAAAGTGAGTCACATCTAATTTACCTGTTTAAAAAAATTTAGACATTCTTGTTCAACAGAAAATTACTTCAGCATTAGGAGAATCTAGTGTTTTGAATAAATACATGTGGAAACCTGTATTATCAAAATAATTTCCATATAGCAAAAAATTAAATTTGCTTTTTTCAAAAATTAAATTCTCAAGCTTCTGTGGCAGTTGAAATCTCAGGTCTTGACAGATTGAAATTTCCATTCCTAAAGTTACTCGCATATCACTAAGGTTATATGTAAATCCTCCATCCATCCATTATTATTAGGGATTATTATTATTCTATATAAATTAGTGACTGCAGTCACAGTTCATTTTAAACCATGTTTTATTTACTTATTTGATTAAGCCACTGTTACCTGGGTTCTCACAATGCACAGAGTTATAAGTTGTGGTTGACGAATCACAGTTCTGTATTCATGCTGCAAAGCCACAAGCAAACAAACCATTGCATAATTCAGCCTGTTACTTTGAGTTCCTGAGTTCCTCTAAGACAGCATTAAATTGTAGGCCATCTATTGAGGATAACTCCCAGTCTCACTTTTTGGTTTCTTAGCTTCACAACTTCAATGATTCACTTAACAACTGTGGCAAGAAAGGTTGTAACATGAGGCAAAACTCACTTAACGAATGTCTCACTTAACATAGAGAAACAAGCATTTCC